ACGCACAGTGGGCAGATCCCATGTCTATCTACGCACAGTGGGCAGATCCCATGTCTATGCACAGTGGACAGATGCCATGTCTATGCACACAGTCCAAGGACTGACCTAACTAGAGCAGGGAGGAAATGAAGAAGTGACAGACAGACAGACAGACAGACCGACAGACAGAAAGAAAAGCTGGGGTTGGGCACTCTGGGCTTTGGAGTGGAGAGGCCACAGCACCTAGAAGCTCAGCATGTTCATTCTATACAGGTGAACAGGGAGGCAGGGCCATTATCCACAGCTGAAAAAAGAGGCAGGTTTAGTTAATCTTGGTGGAAGAAACAGGTGAATAGTTCTCAGCCTGGAAACATCCGGGCGTGTGATGGGAGAAGCTATGGTGGACATTTTCTGTATATACTGAGCGTCGCCTGGGGTAGGCTTTGCCACTCCCTGGGGCTGAGGCATTGAGGTCCTTTACTTGGATGTGCCCATATCAAACAGGACACAGTCACTCGGAACTTGGCTGGATCCCTGCAGGCAGAGGTCTTTATCTTATTCACCTCTGTTCTCTCGGCTCCTGTGTGGAGACCAAAGGCCACGGCCAGCAGCGTAGAGCCCTGTGAGGCATGAAGGAAAGCCAGCTCAACATGACCCAGTGCCAACTTTGGTTCAGACTTCTAGAATGTGACCCCATGTAGCTTGTCCTAGGCATATTTAAGATCAGCACGATGTTGGAAAAAAGTTTCCTGATGACAATTATCACACTAAAGCGTAAGGCGTGACTACACTGAAACTCTTCTGCCAAGTATGTGTGACCTCTTTCATCAGAGCTGAAGGGCCTCCCGGAAGATCTGGTAAAGCATAGGTTATCACAGAGGTCACCAAGCTCCAAAGCCCTTGTGACATCTCCCCTGGGGACAGGTTCTACCGACTAAGACATCAAGCTTAAGCTAAAGATCTAGGGAGGAAGAGCCTGGGATGAACAGGATAGTCTGGAGGATTCGGGTGTGGCTGTACCTATAGATTGCACAGGTCACCAGGCTATTAACTAACACCCACTCCCAGGTGGGTGGAACACTTCTGGTGTCCCCCAGGGCTCATCTGGGAGCACAAGGACCTCGTGCCCTCTACACACCTGGAACACTCCTTGAGGTAGGGAAGGCTCTCTGTGTGCCTTTGCCAAGGAGGTAGTTTTGAGTTCTCTGGGTCTTAGCGGGGACAGTACTTTTGCCATGTGTGGATCCAGTCACTGTCTTCCTCTGCTTGGTATGAAGACCATGTTGCACACAGCAAAAGTTGTCCTGTTCTAGGAGAAATGGAGCATCCATTTACCTGTTGTTGCAGGTCTTTTATTCTGAGACCTGGCTAAGACTCTAGCATGTTCCCTTGCTTCTTCAGCTTACCGCTTCCTTCCGTATCCCATGCCGGCTGACACCGCTTGTCACACAGAATTGTGTTTTCTTCTGTGTTTCCCTTTGCTTTGGAGCCAAGATGGTTGCTTTCCTGATTGACTACATACAGCCTGTAGGGTCTGGTCTGCCACAGTGAGCAACATGGAATGATATCCTAAATCTGCCTAAAACAAAACACGGACACCGAAGCAAATCATGTTCTTAACCTTTCTTGGATAGTGTCCCATTTAGGTGGTATCTAACCAGGCCTGGCCTCCGTTTACCACTGGGTGCCTGAAGCTCTTTTCTCCTTCCTGTACCCAGAAATCCTTCTTTAGAACTTCCCCTAGGGTGTCCCCACCATGTCTGCGTTCCTGTGATAATAGATGCCCCTCACCCAAGGCAGAAAGTCATTGGTAATCCTAGGAGCATTCTTTGCTCTTCTTTGTGGAACGGCCCCTACACACCGGCAATCTCTACACAGCTGTGTGCCCCCCTGGTATAATTTCCAGTCTTTAAAGGGTGATTCCCAAGTTCAACTTACTTTTGGCCTCTCATCTGGCCTTTGCAAAGGGCAATCTCTTGTGAACTTCCTGGAACCGCACTCCCTGGTGGAGGTAGAAGAGGATATATATATAGATAGATGATCCCAGTCTGTTCTCTGAAGTATCTCTTCCCTCAGAGTTCTTTGAACATCAGCGTTGTTTGCGTATAATAACTAAAACTAAAAGGGTTTCAATCCTTTATTTTAAGAGTGGTTGGACCAAAGTATATCTCCCGTCTCCTTTCACATTGACCAGTTTGGCCTCTCTGATCAGAACCTGCCCTCCCTGCCTTTACATATGTTTATTTTTACTTTTGAAGATTTTATACACATAACAATAAAATATTAAAATATCTACCCCACATTTCTTCTCTCTAACTCTCTCCATATGCCCACAGAATGCCCCCTCCCAACTTTGTCTCTTTTTTTTAAAATAAATAAGCCCATTTAGTGCTGCCTATGGGTTTAGGGCTGTCCATGGGAAGATAGGTAGCAGCCACACCCTTTAAAAAAAAACACTGAGAATATTTGAAGGTGGTGGTGCACACCCTTCATTCTGGTACTCGGGAGGCAGAGGCTGGCAGATCTCTGTGAGTCTGAGGACAGCCTGGCCTACAAAGCAAGTTCGAGAACAACCAGGACTATACAGAGAAATCCTGTCTTAAAAAAACAAAACAAAGTAAAAAGAATGAGTCCCCATTCCCAAGCAGCTATCCACTGTCAATAGCTCCTCAGTAAGGCATGGACTTGTGGAGCAGTAGTTTAACTAGGCAGAGATGTGTTACATTTATTTATGCTGCAGAATATCACTTTAACTGTGTAAAGGTGTGTTACTTTCATTTATGCTGCATTTGCTTCATTATGTAAAAATGTGCTACATTTGTTTCACCTGGCCTGCCTGAGGCTCATGATGGGTCTAATAAAAAGCTGGATGACCAATAGCTAAGCAGGAGAGGAGCAGGCGGGGCTGGCAGGGAGAGAAAATAAATAACAGGAGAACTCTAGGCTTAAGAGGAGAAAAGAAGAGAACAAGAGAGAAACACACAGGGCAAGAAGCCAGGCAGCTGCCAGGCATGAGAAACAATGAAAGTAAGATATACAGAAAGAAAGCAAAGAAAAAAAAAACAAGGCAAAAGGAAGAGAAAGAGAAACAGGTTAAGTTAAGTTAAAGAGCTAGCCAGAATGGAGCCTAAGTTAAGGCTGAGCATTCATAACTAATAATAAGTTTCTGTGTCATGATTTGGGAGTTGCTTTGTGGTCCAAAAGAAAAAGCCTGGTATGGGGTGGGATCTGGAGACCCCCCCCCATCTCTGTCGGGATTTGGGGCTAACTTAATTTTATGCAGTTAACCATAACTGCTGTCACGTCGGCTCTCGAGTGTGGTAGCCACGTCATGTCTAGAAGACAGGATTTCCAGGTACCACCCTCTTCCTCTGGCTCTTAGCTTTTTTTCCACCTCTTCTTCCAAGTTGTTCCCTGAGTCTCAGTGGTAGGGGTCTTGATATAGCCGTCCTGTCTGGCGCTGAACACTCGGTCTCTTACTCTTGGCACTTTGATCAGTTATCTCTCCAGTAATTGCTTCCACCTACAAATAGGAGCTTTTCTGACCAGTGGTATTGGAAGACTGGGTCTAATGTAGCCCAACCTGGTGTGGAGCCAATCATGTAGCCAAGAATGTACCGAAGTCCTGACCCCTGTACCTCCACCTGCTAAGTGCGCGGATTCTAGGTTTGTGCCACGGCATGTCACCGAACCAAGCCAAACCTTTCCCTTAACCCCCTTCTCTCTATTTAACAGTAGTAGTAAGATCTAGGGCCAGCCAATCAGATTAGCACCAGCTACAAACAAGCAAGGCCTTGCCGGACCCTTCTGTCCTCCTTCCCCATTATCCTTCTTATTTCTTCTTAGCCTTATTTCTTCTTAGCCTTCTTATTTCTTTCTCCAACTATTCTTATTCTCATCCCATGTTCAAAGTTTTTATAGCCATCCAACTTCTCCTTGATTCCCAGAGATAATATGTCCCTGGGATATTCCTGTTCCCTTTTAGTCTTTGGGTTCATTCTTTCATGAAGCTGAAAAGGATGGCCTACCACCTGAAGAATCAAATTCCCTGTTCTGTCTGTTCACTGGTATAGCACCGCTGCACTCTGCAGTTGAACCTCCAACTCTGAGTTTCTGGTCAAAATTACGACTGGGCTTAAACAAATCTGTAATTGGTTTTATCTAAGTGTCGGGTTTTGTGGGTAATTCTAGGAGTCTGTAAGTAAGTCCTGTGGAATCAGGTTGATTCCTCCATGTTTTCTTCTTGGCCTTAAACCTGGACTCAGTCAACATAATTTATAAAGGACATCTGAGGAAGTTGGTCTTGTGTACCTGAGGCTAGAAATGCTAGCCTATGGTTCTCAAGTGGCCCTCAGACAGAGAGCACCTGGGAACTTGTTAGAAATACGAAGTGTTCCTGACAAGCCCAGAAACAAGCATTTTAATAAGTAGTAATTCTTATGCATATTAGCTTTGAGACCCTTAGTCAAACCTTCATGGTGCTTGCTTTTCCTTGTCCTTTTTCCATCTGGAAACATGGTGGGAACAACAGAAACATACCCCAGCTGTGAGTGCCTATGGAAATTATTCATGGAAGCTCTGAATGCTGTAAGTGGCGTAATGACTCGCCTCACGGTGGGCACACCTACTCCCACCTGCCCATTGCTGATGTCTGGGAGGTTTGTGTAGACTGAGGTTGCGAAGGCCTGGGCTTGTTAAAGCCCTACAACACCAGTCCCACATAAATGTTCCATGCACAGAAGTGTAGACACCCAGAAGCATCTTAAGTCCCCAAAGCTGTGACCCAGCGCCTGTTCCTCGTGCTCTGCCGGTTTGTGGACTGTGGGTGAAGCTTGGGGGAGAGGAGTGGTTGGGGTCAAACAGTCTGCCCCTTGCTGATTTGGACCAATGGAAAATAGAATAGAGCACAGTGAAGATCAAACTTATTACCGATAAAACTGAAGTGGAAAATATAGCTGGGAGTCGGCAGTCACCCTTGGGCTTCCTAACACTCCCCTCCTGACTTTTCCCTCTGCTGAAGCTGATACTGTCCAGATGTGGATCTCTTGCCTCCTCCCCACCCACCTTGCCCCATCCCTCTCATTGTTTAGAGTCTTTTGCTTTTCTGATAGCTGATTTACAGCTTCCCCTAGATTATCTCTGGAGACTTGTGGGCTGGCCTGAGTGTTGTCTATCATCTTGAAAAAAAAAATGCAGTATTCCTTCTCAATCTGTTCTTGAATGATAGTGTGTGTGTGTGTGTGTGTGTGTGTGTGTGTGTGTGTGGTGTGTAGGGGTGTGGTGTATATGTGCAGATGTGGCCATGTTCATGTATGTGGAAGACACTATTTCTCATTGAACCTGAAGCTCAATATTTAGGCTAAACTTGCTGTACAGCAAGCTCACAGGATCTGTCTGCCTCCACTTCTACTTCTGTGCTACAGACAGGTACAGCCATGCCCCACCTCTACTTCAGGACTACAGACATGTATAGCCATGCCTTACCTTTACTTCAGAGCTACAGACATGTAAGGCCATGCCTCACCTCTACTTCAGGGTTACAGACATGTACAGCCATATTCCACCTCTACTTCAGGGTTACAGACATGTGCAGCCATGTCCCACCTC